GGCACAAGACGGTGTGCACAAGCTGGTGGACAAAGCTCCTCGTGTGCCTGCCTAGGGTGTCCCACAGCAGCTGGATCAGAGCCTCCTTATCCGGGCCAAAGTAGAGCAGGCTAGATAAGACGAGGCTCTGCACTGCTGCTGCTTCCTGGGCATCCTCGAAGAGCTGCCCCAGCACCTGATGCAGCCAGGGCAGTGAGGGATGGAGGACTGCGGGCCAGTGGCAGAAGATGGATGCCCAGATGTAGGCACAGAAGCCGCCCACCGGAGCCACGGGAGCTGGGCGCGGTTGGGTGTCCGCAAGCTCCTCCTGTCAGGCGGACGGTAAATGACGGTGCTGCAGGTGGTGCGATGACATACTCCTCAAAGCTGTTGTCTGCCCACACTGAGTGCAAGATGGATCTCACCTTCCTCTTGCAGAGGGGGCACTCGGGCTTGCTCTCAGCCCACCGCACGATGCACAGGCAGGAGAATTGGTGGAGGCATGGCAGTACGTAGCTGCGCTTCTCCCAGCTGTCCAGGCATACTGGAGAGCAGTTCTCCAGCTCCGTGGCCATGCTCTCCACATGCTGCGGTGGGCTGGGGGGAGCTGGGGATGTTGAACTGCTCCTGCTCACTGCCGCTGCACACTAGTCACAACAGAAAAGGAAAAAAGGCCACAGTCATTTGCTGCTCCAGGGAGGGGTGGAAGAAATGTCCAGGCCCCTGAAAGGGAATGAAAGGGCTCAAACAAATTAATTTCTAACAATTATTAAGACTAAACTGTGATGTATGAAAGCTTTGCTTGTGTTTCGCTTCATTTGTTTCTCAAGAACTCCTGACTTCTCAACTGTTTCCTTAGGTCCCTTTGTCTGTTTAGGTAAGATTGAAATACTCATTAGGCTCCCTGCATAAATCACTGGTAACAGACTGAAGGCCTTCTGTGCACACTTGGGCAACTCCTAAAATGAGATAATGGGGAGTTTGAACAAAGAGACAGAGACCCTATTCTACGGAAACTGATTTTTCTGATTTAGGAAGGAGACACCTGGACTTTACTTCACAGCACATGCTCCTGAAAGCGGGTCAACTATCAAACACTGTGAAGTCTACTTACATCCTCTCTCGACCACCAAAGACCCTCACCTTATTTTCACTACCATGCCCGGATTATGTAAATGAATTCCGGCAACTCATTTCCATAAGACACCCCTTTCTAGGAAATCTAATTAATATGTCTGATTTGTGTGTATGTAAACTTACGTCCCTTCCTAATTCTTGGGAGCCCTTATGGTGGAGAACTCCCAGGGTGACCCCAGCGCAGCAAATAAAAGAATACCTGCTTAACAGTTACACTGGATTCTGACTGTTAATTTCTTTGTTTCACCCCTCAAGAAGGAAACCCTCCCAGCTCCCCCGGGTGACTGCAGTCAGCTCCCCTCCCGTTCCCTGCACAGCTCACCTCTGCTGCTGCGAGCGCGCCTCCTGGGTGCCACGGCTGCTTGATCCCGGCAGTGTCGGGGAAAATCCCTCAATGGCTCTGGGGTCGGGCACTGAGAGCTGCAGTGAAGATCTTCCCCCGCAGCAGCAACAGCCTCGCTCCGCACTCCAACCTCGCACACTCGCGCAGCTGGAGCGCGGGCACGAGCCAGCGGGGTGAGACTTGGTGCCCGGACACGAGCAGCGAGGGACGCGCGGTCCCCACCCACCGCCTGGGAATGTCGCCGTCCATCCCTCGGTGACATCAGAACCCACCGCTCGGTGCCCGAG